TGACGGTAAGCGTCTTTCTATAGGCAATAATCTTATCCTTTCAGGTGAATTGGAACAATTCTATGCCATTTACACTCTAGTTGTCTAACAGTGTGTTTTAAAGCTCTAGTATGATCAATGTACTGTGAGGTAAGCTTTTTGTGCCTTTTTTTTACTTCTCAGTGGAGCCACATTATTTAAGGCAGAGCCAAAAATATCCTCTAAGCATTCGGTCATAATATTGTAGCATCCACCAAAGGCCACGCTGCTGTGGGGTAACTTAGAGGGTGTGATCATGCATAATGATTCTCAGGATACACCACACTCCTGTTGTAAAAAAGACATGTAGGTTCATTTAAAACAGCATGAATAAAGTCAGCCAAAAGAGTAAAATAAAAGAAGTAGTGAGCAAATTTCCAATTTAAAATCAGATCAAGATTTTTTTGGAAAAATCATTTCAACATTACAGGCACACCAAAGAATGACTTAACAAGAAGAGAAGAGAGAGAAAAGATATTTCAAAAGAATAAATCCAAAAATGAAACCAGAAGTAAAAACAGACAATTACAATCCCATAAAAGCTCTTCTGCTATCTCTCTCTGTGCACTAATGGTTATACTCTAATGCAAATAATATGTAAATCACACTTAATCAAAAATGTTAATGATCATTTGCTATATTAAAATCAATGCTATCATTATCCATATGCTTGGTCCTTAACATGTATCAAAACTACTAATGACCAACTAACAGAACTCTGGAAAACAAAAATCACATAGATCATAAAGGCAGTGTCAAAACAGCATCTTGTTTTTCAGCTTCATGACCCTGAATGGCTCCAGTCCATCTGCAAAGTAACTGGTAGCTGGGCATAAACAAATTCTTATCTTATGTCATCATGTCCCTCTTAAACACAACAACCAGCTTTCATGCATCACAAGAATATCAGCATGAATCCTTATGTCTTTTAAAGACTCTGAAGGAGGTAATGGAAAAATAAAGATGCTTTCTGTCTTCTGGCCTGCATGTAATTTTACACCATGTAGAGCAGATATGTGTGGACTTTCAGAGAAAAGGTCAGTAGTACGTCACTCAGATAGCTTGCCATGGTTCAGTAGTCATTCTTCTGACTGGGTGTCTTTCGCAGCATAGCAAAAAAAAAAAGCTTCACTTCTGCACATTCGGAGCACAGTGTCAACCAAAACACTTAAACCTTGCAGGCTCCTAGAAGGTACAGTAGCACCCTCCAAGACCTAACACATGGTGTCTTCTGGCATTCCAAAGTCATGATCTGAGTAAGCCAGAGACAACAGTGGCAAGGAAAAACTCTCCAGATGTTACGTGACTGAAACTTCAAGAGAATCCAGGACTCAGGAGGGTACTCCATTGTCCTAGAGGTGACACCAGATAAGAATAGACTAAAAAACATACACTGTATCGCTCGTCTGCCTTGATATGTATATGAACTTGAGTGACATCCCATTCTTAATCCATAGGGTTTATTATAATGTCGGCCCACCCTTTGCAGCTATAACAGCTTCAACTCTTCTGGGAAGGCTTTCCACGAGGTTTAGGAGTGTGTTTATGGGAATTTTTGACCATTCTTCCAGAAGCACATTTGTAAGGACAGACACTGATGTTGGATGAGAAGGCCTGACTTGCAGTCTCCGCTCCAGTTCATCCCAAAGGTGTTCTATTGGGTTGAGGTCAGGACTCTGTTCAGGCCAGTCGAGTTCTTCCATACCAAACTCGCTCATCCATGTCTTTATGGACCTTGCTTTGTGCACTGGTGCACAGTCATGTTGGAACAGGAAGGGGCCATCCCCAAACTGTTCCCACAGAGTTGGGAGCATGAAAATGAAAAAGCTTGGTAAAGGCAATCATAGTGTCATCATCGTAGTGATTAAACTAATTATCACAGTGATTAAAGAACACTTAATGTCACTTTTAACTGGAAAAACATGAAAATATTTGCCATCTCGAAGCATATGGCTATGTGGCTACAGTCAAAATTAATTATTTTTTTCAAAAATCTGTTTAATGATTTTTTCCCAGGAAATAATGTTTTATGATGTGTTAAATTGTATGCCTGTTGGTTGTTTATGTTTCTGAGTAGTACTGACACAAATCAGTCTCAGTTAAACACTGATTTTTGACAATACACTGAATCTATGTCAGCATTTACAGTGCTCAAAATGAGATTGTATGTCACTCTATTTTTTCTCTGTTTTTAATTACTATTACACATGAATTCAGTATTTTTCTGGCACTTTCTGTGAACAGAGTCCATTTTATGCCTCAAAACTCTTTAAAAATTAACATTTTCTTTGGTGTTTCTTGACAAAGTATTAATCAAAGTAAGTGCTTAACCTTCAGAAAATGTTATTTTCTATATACTATATGAGCTGTTTTCAACATTAACAGGATTGAAGTGAGTAACAGTGTTGAACATGGAGATCATATTCCTTATTTAGTTGATACTAATGCAGTAAAAAACATATAAAGTAGTCAACATAGAGGAAAAGGGAAAGTTGAAATTTTTTAGTTTAAATATTTTCATTAAAATCTTTGTTTTAAGCCATTTAAATGTAATTTTCATTTAAAATAAATGAATGTTAAAAAATGGGTAACAGGGTAGCAAATTAACCTAAAATAAGCTAGCATTCAGAAGTGGTTACACTTGGGTGCACATGTTGTTAATTACTATATAGTTTACAAAAAATGTATATATATGTATATATACACAGATCAGGCATAACATAATGACCACCTCCTTGTTTCTACGCTCATTGTCCATTTTATCAGCTCCACATACTGTATAGGTGCACTTTGTAGTTCTACAATTACAGACTGTATTCCATCTGTTTCTCTGCATACTTTGTTAGCCCCCTTTTACCCTATTCTTCAGTTGTCAGGGCCCCCATGGAGCAGGTACTATTTGGGTGGTGGATCATTCTCAGCACTGCAGGAACACTGACGTGGTGGTGTTGTGTTAGTGTGTGTCCACTCACTGTCCACTCTATTTGACACTCCTACCTTGTCAGTCCACCTTGTAGATGTAAAGTCAGAGACGATAGCTCATCTGCTGCTGCACAGTTTGTGTTGGTCATCTTTCTAGCCCTTCATCAGTGGTCACAGGACGCTGCCCACAGGACGCTGTTGGCTGGATATTTTTGGTTGGTGGACTATTCTCAGTCCAGCAGTGACACTGAGGTGTTTAAAAACTCCAGAAGGACTGCTGTGTCTGATCCACTCAGACCAGCGCAACACACACTACCACCATGTCAGTGTTGCTGCAGTGCTGAGAATGATCCACCACCCAAATAGTACCTGTTCTGTGAGGGTCCATGGGGGCCCTGACAACTGAAGAACAGGGTAAAAGGGGGCTAACAAAGTATGCAGAGAAACGGAAACGGAGAGATGGAATACAGTCTGTAATTGTAGAACTACAAAGTGCACCTGTACAGTATGTGGAGCTGATAAAATGGACAATGAGCGTAGAAACAAGGTGTTCATAATGTTATGCCTGATCAGTGTATATATATATGTATCCTGTTTTTCTAACAATAATTTTGGTAACATGGCTGAATGGCCAAGCTTTACCCATGCAGCCAAATCACTTTTTTGCATAAATTGAGAAACCAGAATGAGAATGCTTACCTGTCACATTGGCATTCTGCAGAAAACAAGATGATGCAAATTCTTGTATATATATCATAATAAACAGAATGCTCCATTTTTATGAGGGGGAACAGGTTTTGCTAACAGGGTTGTGCATAAAATGTGGGACACATGTTAAAATAACTTTTTGTTAAATTAACTAAATTGATAGGGATTTTTAATCAATCAAAAATAGCTTGGAGTGTGACCAAATAACATTGTAATTTAAGTGTTAATGGAACATTTTCATTAATATATTTCATAGAAAAGTTCACTGTCAGTGAGGTTTTGCCAGTGATATTTTAAGTGTTTTTGTAATCATTTAAATATTAATTTTAAGTTAAGGTTTAATTTAAAGTTAAAGTACAGATCCCTTCACATTTCATAGAAATTAAAAAAGTCACTTCATTGCTTTAAAAAGGTAATTGCACATACACTGAACTTTATTCATGGAAAGTGCCTTCTTGAGTATGGGCATTTTTTTTATCGTTAAACTGTCGCTACTAAGACTAGGTTATCATTTTGATGAATGTTTGTATATGAAACCCTGCACTCCTCAACATAATGTTGGTCTCAAGAATTACCCATATAGGCTCACTGATTCCATTAGTATTATAATAACCTTAACCCTGCACAACATTAATTAAGGCAGAATGGCGTAATGTAAACAGATTTAGTTTCCTTTTCAGAAAGGAAGGATTTGTCGACGTTACAAAATAGCATACCAAGGGACCGAAACGGTAAGAGAGGGGAGCACGGGCCTATTGAAATTTATTGTTACTTTTTTCCACCCACACTTGCTAAATATACTAAATAAAATAGCTGAACTTAGTGTTACTATATCTGTTGATTTATCGCTATATATGTATACAGATGAAAGCGGGTACGCTGGACGTCCAGTTGGAGCTTTTGTTTACTACATGATGTTTGTCTTTCGGAGTTGTTAGCATGCTAGCTTGGAGCCAATCGGCAAACGCGAACGTTAGAATTAGACATGACTTTAAGTAGAGCTTGCGTTTATATCTTTAAGACAGGTAGATGTAACATAGTTTTAAAACTAGTGCATGCATTTTATTTACAATGTATTTTAGTGGCTCGCTATTTTGCGGAAAGTTAGCTTCCCATGCACCAGTTGGCTAACGACGTAAGCAGTGAAATTACAACCATTCGTAGCAGGTCAAGACTATACATGCTAGCTAGCTAACTAGATAGGCTAGCTCATACTAGCTTATTGGCTGCTATTCTGTTCTGAACAGCAAGTTAAACAGCTAAACACGGAGCATTCTGATAAATATTGAAATAACGTTACATTTTAGGGCACAGTAACCGGCTTTTGTCCACTTTTGTTTGGTGTCCTGCAGATAGGAATAGCTTGGGTTGTTAAACAGGGGCTCGGGCCTCAGTCCGCGGTCTTGAGTTGAGCAACCTTTCGGGATCCAACGTGATTCATTGTGCCAATACACCTACGCAAGCTGGACGTTCGTCATGGGCGACAGCAGAGGTGAGATACTCTTCTAATCTTTACTTTTAAGAGAAGCCTTTTACTAGATACTTGTACATTACACAATAAATTTCCCCTCAAACGTTTCAGTCTTTGCAGTTCAACCAAAAAAACAACGAACTTTAAGCGTTTTTGCTTAATGGCTACATTAGTGTGTCTTAACTACGGATGGTTAGTAACATGGTATGAACTGTTTTTGTTGTTCCCAAGTATATAGTGTTGGTCATTGCTGGCTAGGTTTCTTTCTCTTGTGGCATTTCTTTCTTATTGTGGCAAAATAAGTAGGCTTGTGCCAAGGCTGTATGAATGCAACATCAGTTTGGATTTATACAAAGTAACACTTCGAGACATGTAACCTAGTGTTTGAGACAAAAGGTTTTGATTAATTTCATAAAATCAGTTTTTCTGATTTTGTGTTTTGTAGTCTGGTAACTTGGGAGTTATTGAGACCCTGTAGATTTGGCATGAATAATCTTTTAGCATTTAAAATGTATTTCAGATGAAAGTGAAAAGTTGTACTTCTTCTCAAAACTATTTTCAAATGTGTTATATTTGTATGTTTGAAAATAATAATCCATTAAATTTCTTTTTTTTTTTTTTCCAAGATTCTCGCAGTCCAGACAGCTCCTCTGTGTCGTCACCACCTTCAGGCCAGCGTTCACCCCCACTGGCTTCCTTAGCAGCTGCCATGACCTCATTGCCTCCTATTACCTCAGCGGTCAACAGTCCCATTAGTAGCATAGGATCACCCTTCTCTGTCATCAGTTCTTCACTGGGCTCCCCATGCCTACCTGGGACACCCTCCGTGGGCTATGGCCCTATCAGCAGTCCCCAAGTAAGTACGCAGGTGCATAGGTTTATAATAATTTATGTGTTGCCTGGTACTTCACAATTTAATGTGATTTAATCTTTTATAGTGACACTTTGGTGCTAGTATGATTTGGTATTATGTTTATACATGACTTTTTTCTGTGTTTATTAAAGCGTAGATTTTGGGTGTGTTTAGACTTGACAGGTTTGGCCCCATTAAAACAAACACTGGTGAGTTCTCTGTTAGTGCGGTTCTTTAGAGTAAGTGAGACCTCTGTTCACTAAATAAGCAGACGGAGATTCCCTGAGTAGGTTGATTTTGGTTCACTTCAAAACAAACTCTGGTGCGGTTTGTTTGAGGTGTGAGGGCAATTCAGATGAAAGACGTCTAATCGGACTAAAGACAAAATGAACCATCATTTCCTCCCTCCATAATCTCTTTGGCATGTAGAAAAGCCAAGTCTGTGATATTACTTTGGCTTGTGCATGTGTCTTATCATCTGTTCATAAGTTCTGAATCAGTGATTATAGAACAGATAATTTTGGTTTTAAAACAAGGCTCAGGCTTCATTATAAAATATAAAAAGTCCAGATAGAACAGAAACAGCATGATTCAGAAAATTCAGTAGACATTTTTACAGTTATTGTATGTCATGAAATCTGCCCAATCATTTGTGGCCATATATTGTTGTGACTTTTGTTTAGATCTTTTGGTTCAGCTTTAAATATATTTGTTTACATCTTTTGGGTAAAATATATAGTGCAGAGGTGCTCAATCCTGGTCCTGGAGATCTACCGCCCTGGAGAATTCAGATCCAACACACCTGGCTCTAAAGTTGAAACACCCTTGAGCTACACTTAGCAGGGTGCTAGATCTACAGGAGCAGGATTAGCACTGTGTTAGTGTAAACGCTAAGAAAACCAAAACTGAAATGCAACAGTTTCATCATTTTCTGCTTTGGTCCAGACCAAGTGAACCAAACTTCAATTATAAAACGCACCCTTACTGCTGCTGTTATGCTGTTACACATAGTTGGAGGAAGGGCTTACATGAAACGGAATCTGTTAAGTAAGGTGTTCATGTGAACCTTATTGCAGTTGAATATAATGGGTATTTTCCTTTGCATATGAATAGGGTACTCTTGTGTTGTACATGATACCAGTCATTAATGATATAGCATACTGTAAGATGACATGCAGTACAGCAAAATTTGTTACATGCTGACCCAGCAAGGGGTCAGTGTCTTATTGCCATCTGGCAGCAGGAAGTGGCTACTCTACATCTGGAAATGACACGTATCAGCATGTGCCACTTCACTTATGGCACCTGCCATCCATAACTGTAAATAAGTGACACTTGAAACCCTCGTTTAGTGATGCTTGATGGTGGCATGTGCCATGCAGCAAAGGGGTGTGCTATTCAAAACGGGTACATAATGAGAAAATCTGCAAGTAAACTCTGGGCAACAGCCACTTGGCTAGCAGCGCTTCGTAACTCCCCCATCGGTCATCAAAATCTGAAAAAAGAAAGGAGAAGTGTTGATTTGAAGACTTCATAGAGATGTTGTTGGTTTGTTGGTTTTACTGTTGGGTAAATAATTCTAAGCGAGTCAAACCACTTAGCAAAACACTATGCCACAATAGCAGTAAGTAAATGTACAAACCCATTTCCAAAAAAAGGTGGGACAGTATGTAAAATGTAAATAAAAAACAGACAGCATGATCTGCAAATCATTTTTGAGTTCTATTCAAAAGCAGCACAAAAATGCAATATATTATGCTTCAACTAATTTACTTGTGTTTTTGTATATATATACTTATATACATTTGTTGCCTACGACATCTCTCAAAAAATGTGAGACTGGCATGTTTCAGTATAGATTTCTCCGGATTCTCTGTTTAGTATTGTGTTACATTGCCTTTCCTTTTAGGAACCTTCAGTAATCGTTTGGCAACTGAGGGCACCAATTGTTGTAGTCATGAAAGTGGAAATTTTTCCTTTTCATGATGTAACACTTAAGCTACTCAACAGTCTGGGTCTCTAGTGTCATATATTGTGCTTCATAATGTGCCACATTTTTAAAATAAGAGACAGGTCTGGCAGGCCGGTCTAGCACCTGCGCTCTCTTCCTACAAAGGCACGCTGTTGTATAACATGCACAATGTGGCTTGGCATTGTCTTGCTGCAACAAGCAGGGACATTCCTAAAAAAGACGTTGTCTAGATGGCAGCATATGTTGTTCCAAAATGCATATGTAACCCTCAGTATTAATGGTGCCTTTACAGATGTGCAAGTTACCCATTTCATTAGCAGTAACACACGTCCTCTCCATGATGGACAGTGGCTTTTGAACTTACCGTTGGTAACAACCAGGAAGGTCTTTTACTTGTTTGGCCTGGAGAACACGCTATTTCCAAAAACAGTTTGAAATCTGGACTCCACAGAGTGTCCACTTTGCATCAGTCCATCTTAAATGAGCTTTAGCCCAGGGAAGTTGGTGGCATTTATGGATATTGTTTACATATGGTAGAGATGGGACCGATCTGATCCTATATCAGTGTAGGGACTGATATTGACGTAATTCACTCGTGGGATATCGGACAAACAAGGCCGATCCACTTACCGATCCACATTCCAGTCCACAGCTTGCGCTGGACCCTGAACCTGCTGTAATGTAACATGGCCTAACATGAAATGTCACAGATCCAGATTCCATTCCACATAGTAGCATTAACCCATGGCAAGTTCAGTCTGTAACTGAGTGAGTAAATACCATTAGCTGTTGGTTTCAGTAAGATGTTGTTTGTTTGGAGATATTTTAGTCTGGAAATGCCGAAAAGCAAGACCGCTGCATGTAATGTGCAAAGCCAGCAGGCCGAGGGGTGCAAGTACTGCTGCATCGTACACTACAACCAATTTAATCAAGCACCTGCAGAGGTTTCACGTGAAAGAGTACCAGGAGTTCATGATAGACAACAGACAGGAAGATACCACCTGGCAGCGACTCCCGCTGATGCTTTCCAGAAATGCGATAAACTTCCAGCGGACAACCCAAAAGCTAAAGGGATTACAGAGGAGTTGCTGAACTTTATTATACTTGATGACCATCCACTATCTGTACTGGAAAATGTTGGATTTCGCAGCCTGTTGGAGCACTTGGAGCCCAGGTATAATCTGCCATCCAGAAAATAAATTTCAGAGACAGGACCTCAGATGTAAGTCTAATGTCTCTCTTAAATCTCAGTGTACACTGGGTGAACTCAAGCATATGCACTACAGAATGCAGTGTGTTTATATTCGTTACAGAGGCATGTCTGTTTTTTAATGCTGTGCAGTTTGAGGAAATGAACATCAATCAATATTGGACAGGGCACACAGAGATTTCTCTGGATTCTCTGAATCCTTTAATGATATTCTGTATTGCAGAGGGTAAAATACCAACATTCCTTGCAAATGCTTATTGAGGCAAATTGGCAAACTTCAACTTTTCTTTGATTATACAGAACACACGAGCATATATTTACAAAAATTATGAACTTTGAAAGGTTAAACACTAAGTATTTTGTTTTTTTTTGAGTAAAGATCAAAGTAAATTTAAAAATCACTGCTTCCTGTTTTCATTTGCATTTTATTTACTGTCCTGTCTTTTTTGGAATTAAATTTGTGGACTACATGCAGGCCTTCTGTTGTGACACAGAGGGTTAACGAAAACACAGCTCATGTTAGACATTCATACCAATTGTTGAATGAATAGGGACGTTTTTCATGTTAAATCAAAACATTGCATATTTGTTGGCGCATTTATTAAACAACGCATGAGAAATTGAGGCTTGTGTTTTTTTGTTTTTTTTTTGTTTTTTTTTTTATAGAGTGATCTATCATCGGTATATGCCTCTCTGGAGTGACACCAGCCAACACGCGTGGCTGACTGACGTCGGTATCTGCCTTCAAGAGTGGTGCTAGCCAAATGTCAGTTGCACCAGTTGTTTACTTGGAACTGACAGAACTATATAAAGCAAAGTTATGATATCACCTAAAGCTCTTTTGTAATTACTGGCACCCACTGTTCAAGAGGTGTGGTGGGTGTTTAGTTATAGCTACCTGGGTGATGATCTAAGTTGTCATTTATTTACCTTGAATTGTGAATGTTATTGGTAAATTAGAACAGTAATTTATTTCATTATTTACTTCAAAGCATGTGTGTAACTGTTCAGACTATCTAATTTGGCTAATATACCTTTGGTTGTCTGTTATTTGGACCAGATTGTCAGTCATGGGAGACTGAATTGAGTCCCAAAATCTTTTCTTTGCAGGAACGTACTTTGTGACAGCTAAGACATTTCTCTACCAGCACAGTACATTACTGCCTAAAGTAAAAAGTGCACTTGTGTAACCTTCCCTATAGATTTTTAATGTTGTGAACATGCTATTATTCAAAGCAAAACCTTTTTTTTGTAGTTTTACTGGCTTCTTCTGAAAGGCAGACACTGATGGCTGTCACTTAGAAGTAGATGGCTGGTGCCGCTGGCAGTTGGCTAGTGCCACTTCAGGCGGATGCCGATGAGGGGTTACAAATAATTTTTTTTTAGTGAATAAAAGATTAATAAATGACGAGAACACAGGCCTACATTTCTTGTGTTGTTTAATATATACATGGATAAATGCTCTTTACAATGTTTAGATTTAGCATAAACAACACATCTGTGCCAATTAGGTAATTAGTATGAGTATTTCTTCGTTGACTCTCTATCTGTATTCAAGTTAGTATTATTATTATTTGAAGCATAGCCTTTTGGCTGGAGTGTTATGAGTTATGATGTGCTGCTAGATAGCATAGCCGAGTTGCGGGTACCCAGAGTTACTGGTCTACTCACAGTTGTTGTTTGTGCCTGTTTTGTGCCCTCTCTGTTTCTGCAGGGTATGTGCCAATGTCAGGCAGCACTAATTGAATGACGGTAAAAAATGTTACTTATTAACAGTTATTGATGGCATGTACCATTCCTGAGGGGGCACATGATGATTCATGCCATTTCCATATAGTGGAGTGGCCACTTTCTGCTGCCCGATGCCTTTGATGGACAGAACCCCCTTTCTGTTGATTTAGCAAGTGACAAAAGGCTTTTGGAAAGTAAGTTTTTGTTGGTTATCACACAATAAGCTAGCACATTAAGACACACTTAGTTTTTTGTTTGTTTTAAAAAAGGTCACATTCATTCTTTTCAGATTCTTTCTCCAAAATAAACTTGTTACGGAGGTCTTTCCACACTTCGCAGTGTTCTCTGTAAATTTTGCTGTTTTAAACAGTAGACACTCTGTCTATCCACATTCTAAATGTAGGGATTTGTCTCCTTCCAACACATACAAATCTGTCACGTTGCTGTGACAATTCCCACTGTCATAAGAGAAAATTCCCTCTTATTAATGTAGGGAATTTTAGTTTTGTCTCCTGGAAGACATAATCTTGATGAAACTGAAGGACCGTAACCCATTTAAACCCATTTTCCAAAAAAACAAATCCTTTTGCATCCTCATAATGCATGAAAACATGTGCCAGTTTCTTGTTCACACTTCCAGCACAAATTATTCTTAAGCACTCACATTCTATGAAATCGTGTTGGAGTAAAATATGTGTAGCACATTATATTGAATTAGTTTGCCCCATGCTTCTCTTACATGTCTCCCATTATTAGACCAAACCCTACCCCATGTGTCTTCTTTAAATACACATTCAAGATCCATTTGCCATATTAGTCTTATGTTTAACAGCTCCTTTTGCAGATTCTGGAACACCTTCCATAAAATATGGATGCCTTCTGGATGGGGGATTGTAGCTCAAAATATTCCATTATAGCATTTGTTTCTTGTTTGGGACAAGTCATTGCTTTTAGACAATTTTTGTTTGGCAAATATGTCCAAAAATGACCCCTGCTGACAAAAGGCTCTTAATAAAGCTTGTACCACTCAGTAATGCTTATGTGCAACAGTTGTATTTACAAGGCAAAACAAAAGATGATTTTATAGTCTAATGGTGGCATTTTCAAATGACACTGGCAATAGCGCAGGTGTGGTAAAAAGTTACCAAAACATGTGTAAAGGGAGAAGTTATAAACAATGGACAAAATTTAGGGTGTTCATCCAAATGCATTTTTTGCACTTTTGCTTTACATATTTTCTGTGTAGGAAACATTTATAATGGTGTGCAAATGCCAGGAAATGATGCCTGTTTTTGGCCTCAGGGTGGCATAGTACTGACAGAAAGAGGGCTTACATTGTAGGATTGAGCAGTGTAACAGCAATAATTTGTACTGCATTATTTCAAAATGATTATGGTATTTACAAATTACATGTTAAATTTCTATTCCACTTCAAAACAACCAAATAAACACATTCCACCTATTTGTAGTTTAAATTGGTAGTGTGGGAGCTGATCAAATGAAGGGGAAAAATCAGAGCCAAGGAAAAACTAAAAAAAAAACTAAGCATGATAGTGGCTCAGTGACTGTTCAGAGCTACACACACCACAGAACACAATTTTGTCTTTCACTCTACCACTAGTCACTACACCCCTGTAGAATGTTTTGGTGGGTTTAGTGTTTTTTCTTTGTCATTTAATTTGCAGTTTTATCTTTATCCCAAACTTGTTGATGACTTCACTGTTTGTGTGAAGCTGTTGAACCCTGCACCTCACAACATGTTCCCAGTTAATCCATGCACAGTTTGCATTACTTTAGTAAGTCAAATGTCCATTTCAGTTTGTGTGATTGCCTATAGCTTTAGTAAGTCAAACGTCCATAAGCATACATACACTATATTGCCAAACGTATTCACTCACCCATCCAAATCATGGAATTGGTGTTCCAATTACTTCCATGGCCACAGGTGTATAAAACCAAGCACCTAGGCATGCAGACTGCTTCTACAAACATTTTTGAAAGAATGGGTCGCTCTCAGGAGCTCAGTGAATTCCAGCGTGGTACCATGTTAGGATGCCACCTGTGCAACAAGTCCAGTCGTGAAATTTCCTCGCTACTAAATATTCCACAGTCAACTGTCAGTGGTATAATAACAAAGTGGAAGCGATTGGGAATGACAGCAACTCAGCCACAAAATCGTAGACCACGTAAAATGACAGAGCAGGGTCAGCGGATGCTGAGGCACGTAGTGCGCAGAGGTTGCCAACTTTCTGCAGAGTCAATCAAATGCAAAGTGTCGAACGCAGTGGTGTAAAGCACGCCGTCACTGGACTCTAGAGCAGTGAAGAAGTGTTTTCTGGAGTGACTAATCACGCTTCTCCGTCTGGCAATCCGATGGACGAGTCTGGGTTTGGCGGTTGCCAGGAGAACGGTACTTGTCTGACTGCATTGTGCCAAGTGTAAAGTTTGGTGGAGGGGGGATTATGGTGTGGGGTTGTTTTTCAGGAGTTGGGCTCGGCCCCTTAGTTCCAGTGAAAGGAACTCTTAATGCTTCAGCATACCAAGAGATTTTGGACAATTTCATGCTCCCAACTTTGGGAACAGTTTGGGAATGGCCCCTTCGTGTTCCAACATGACTGTGCACAAAGCAAGGTCCATAAAGACATGGATGAGTGAGTTTGGTGTGCAAGAACTTAACTGGCCTGCACAGAGTCCTGACCTCAACCCTGTAGAACACCTGTGGGATGAATTAGCGCGTGCCAGGCCTTCTCGTCCAACATCAGTGTCTGACCTCACAAATGTGCTTCTGGAAGAATGGTCAAAAATTCCCATAAACACACTCCTAAACCTTGTGGAAAGCCTTCCCAGAAGAGTTGAAGCTGTTATAGCTGCAAAAGGTGGGCCGACATTATATTAAACCCTATGGATTAAGAATGAGATGTCACTCAAATTCATATGCATGGAAAGGCAGACGAGCGAATACTTTTGGCAATATATTGTATTTAGGTTGCATTAAGGCATAGTTTGCTCTGTGTTGGCCCTCCTATATACATCTGGCCCTCTCTTCTGTAGTCTTTAGTACTTGCAGTAGGTTGAGGTCAACTGCATGTTGCCAGTTGCAGAGTTTCAGCATTTCAAAAGCAAAGGAAATTTACAGATTTTAAATTGTCAAAACCTGTTGTTTGTTGATTATGTAATTTAAGTCAATTATCATCTCATCTTTATGCTATTTCATATTTTGCTTTAATGGTTTTTCCACTGTGTGGTTGCAATGCCTCTACCATTTTCACAAAATATTTACTGTGTTCTAGCCTTTTTGGATCTTTTTAACAGTTTGTTAAGAAGGTATGTTGATGGGAACTCTGAAATGTAAGAGAGCACCAGAATAATACAGTTTGTTTTTAGTTGTGGAAGCCAAATTAATAAAAATATTTCTCCTTTGTCTTCTCTCCAGATCAATTCCACTGTGTCAATGTCTGGTCTACATGCTGTTAGCAGTTCAGATGATGTAAAGCCACCGTTTGGCCTGAAGCAACTTTCGAGCCACAGTCCTGGACCCACGCTTTCTCAGAAACGCCTTTGTGCAATTTGTGGTGACCGCTCCTCTGGTACTGACAGAAAACATAATAGATGAGTGTGAAATAAAGATGAGGACACTGACCAACTTTATGTAGTACAGTTAAATAGAGATGCTGAAAGTAGTGATGGGCAATTTGAAATTTTAGCATATTCGTGTGTGTGTGTGTGTGTGTGTGTGTGTGTGTGTGTGTGTGTGTGTGTGTGTGTGCGCGCGTATGTGTACACCAACCAGCAACTTTATTAAAACCACCTCCTTGTTTCTACACTTGTTGTCCATTTTATCAGCTCCCCTTTCTTTGTAGTTCCACTATTACAGACTGTAGTCCATCTGTTTCTCTGCCTACTTTGTTAGCCCCCTTGTACCCTGTTCTGCCATGGTCAGGGCCCCCACAGGACCACCTCAGAGCAGGTATTAATTGGGTGGTGGATCATTGTCAGTACTGCAGTGACGCTGACGTGGTGGCTTGTTTGTGTGTGTTGCGCTGTGTGAGCGGATCAGACACAGTAGTGCTGCTGAAGATTTTTAAACAAAACAGCGTCCTGTGACTTTTGATGAAGGACTACAGGATGAGTAATGCATTTGTGCTGGACCAAATGAGTCATTGTCTCTGACTTTACATTTACAAGGTGGACCGACAAGGTAATAGATAGACATAGACAGTGAGAGGACAAAGTGTTTAAAAATTCCAGCAGTGCTGTTGTGTGTGATCCACTCACACTAACATTCCACCACTATATCAGTGTCAGTGAAGCACAAGAGCTGTGCCTTGGGAACTTTAGGAAACATGGCTGGGCAACATACAGAGTGGCAACATAACTTGCATGTTATTGTTTGATGCTTATGATTGAAAACATCAGCCTCACAGTAAGAAGGCCCTGGGTTCTGTTCCCTGGCTGGGCGACCAGGGTGCTTTCTGTGTGGAGTTTGCATGTTCTCCCTGTGTCTGTGTGGGTTTCATCTAGGTACTCCGGTTTCCAGTTCAAAGACACGCAGTCAGACTAATTGGACATGCTAAATTGCCCCTAGGTGTGGATGTGTGTGTGAACATATATGTCTGTGTCTGCCGTGCGATGGACTGGTGGCCTGTCTGTGTGTATCTTTCTGCCTTCTGCCCAAGACCACTGGGATTGGCACCTCCCCGCAACCTAGAAGGATAAACATGGACCCTCCCTTTCTCCTTAACCTCTGGCCCGTTTTGAACTTTGTTGCTTATACATCATTGCTTTATTTAAAACTCTGCATCTGGTCTATGCAATTTCCATTTGCTATAGCTAATAAAGGCAACAAGTTTACTTTATATGCATTTTGTTGAGTAGAGTACAAAAGAATAAGAGGAAGCCTGTTCCCTATTGCAAAGGACAAAACAAAGCCTACTCCTCTTCACAAAGTGATAATGTTTGACAACATAAACTAAAAATTGTCTTGTACTTTTATTGACTCTTTAAGAATAAATAGTAAGTAAAAAAAAAAAACAACAAAGCATAACCTATGATTTCCCTGCATACCAACATACAGATTTTGTTTTGAGCCTTTTTTTTTTTTGGGCCACTCTTCTTTACTTTTTTCATTCTCTTAATCTCTTAGGTAAGCACTATGGTGTGTACAGCTGTGAGGGATGTAAGGGCTTTTTTAAGCGCACTGTGAGAAAGGACTTGAGCTACACTTGCAGAGATAACAAGGACTGTATGGTCGACAAGCGCCAGAGGAACCGTTGCCAGTACTGCCGCTACCAGAAGTGCCTGGCTATGGGCATGAAGAGAGAAGGTGAGGCTTGCACTTCATACCTTTTACACATTGCTGGTACACAAGCGTGGCACAATAGAATAAAAAGTTAAAAATGTGAAGAAGGAGATTTGGGATTTTGAGATTGTTCTTTGTTCTTTTTTTTTTTTTGAGAAAAAGCTTAAAAACTTAAAAGCTTAAAAATATATACATATAAATTGAAACAGTTTAGCAGTGAAGTGAAATACCTCCCATAACTACTGTGACATTAGGTGGAAATTGTGAGTAGATGGCAAATATCAATTTTAAAAGGAAATAACTAGAGGAGAGGGAGGAGGAATAGCTATGTCATTGTCCTCCTCTGTCCATATTTTTTTCTCTCATTCTGTCTCCTCCCTCTCCTTCTGTAGTGGTCCAAGATGAATGGCATGACATAAGGAGAAAAGAGGGAGGGGGGAAAAAGTGTATGTGTGCATGTGTACAAAAGGGAATCCTCAGAGATCAGTTAGATACTTAAAATTGTCATGTAAAATCTAAACAAAACCCTTATCAAGCCATATACTGCAAGATTCTTCAATTTTATGTTTCCCAGAAGAACATTTTTTCCCAGAATTAAATTAGATTGGAGCATGCCCAAAGGACTTTAATTCAGAAATACCTGTATGCATATATCTGGGTTTTATCTTTGCTTTTTTCTACTCTGTTTTCCATCTTTCGCTGATCTCATGACTTTCTTTGACTTGTATCTCATCTTTTTGTCTCTTTTGTGTTGCTCTGTGCATGGGTTGCAGCCGTTCAGGAAGAGCGTCAGAGGAACAAAGAGCGAGATGGGGAAGCGGAGTCTACCAGTGCAGTGAATGAAGAGATGCCAGTAGAAAAGATTCTGGAAGCAGAAATGGCTGTGGAACAGAAAACAGAAATGCATTCTGATGGAAGCTCAGTGGCCAGCTCTGTGAGTGACTCACCTGACACACCACAAACTGTTTTAAATTTAGTATCATTAACTCTGTAAACACAAGGAAAATCATGTAAAAGCTCCAAATGTAATAAACTGTATGTTGACCAGTATCTACAATGTTCCTCTGCTCTCTCTCTTCCCCGGTCTCTTTTCCTTTCTCCCTGTCTTCCTCCTCCCTTCCTATCCTTCTCCTCCTGCTCCTCACATCCCTCTTCTTTTCTTTTCTTTACCTACCTTTTTTTTCTTTTCCCTGTCTTCCCCTTTCCCCTTCCCCTATCCCTCCCTCCCTTCTCTCTCTCTCTCTCTCTCTCTCTCTCTCTCTCTCTCTCTCTCTCTCTCTCTCTCTCTCTCTCTGTCTCTCTATCCCCCTTTTCTCTCTCTGTTTCTCCGTTTCTCTCCTTCCATCCATCGTCCCCTCCCCCATTCTTTGTTTCCTCACCCACCCCACAGCCAAATGATCCTGTCACTAATATCTGCCAGGCAGCTGACAAACAGCTCTTCACTCTTGTGGAGTGGGCCAAGAGGATCCCACATTTCTCAGAACTGCCTTTGGATGATCAGGTCATCCTCCTGCGTGCTGGTAAATATTGAATGTTTGTATTATTAGTGGATGGTTTATCAAATATGGGGATCACAGCAGATTTTGGCTAATGACAGACACGCACAGACAGGTGACAAATTAAAGGACCAAAATCCAACATGGTGTCCTGGTAAGGTGGTGAACCACCATGAGCCACTAGAACAGCTTCGTCAATTTGATGGAGACTTATTGGCTGATAATGCTGGACAGTGCACTGCAAACATGCAGCTGACCTTAGTTCCTGTTTCTGTCATGATGCTGCACAGTGTGTTTTGAAACAGCCTTTTGAGAGTATGAAAACTCATGAAATTTACATCCACTGCCGTGAGAGCAAAGCAAAGGCAAAAAATGTGAGTCTTTAATAAGCAGTTCTTAATTAAACTGTGAGACTATTTTGCAAGTTTATTTGGCAGGATAGTTAGACTTCTTGTGATGTATGCCATGATATATGCTCTGTCAAAATAGTAGCAATGGTGATTTTTTTGTCAGAGGCATGCATCTGCATGTTTATTCGTGCTTAATGTATATGCACACTGAAGAGGCAGGTGACTAAGATCAAAAGTTTGTTGTCACACAAAAAAAAATTTTTTTAATATAATTTGTAGATGTGAACATTTTCTATCGTGTTTTCAGTGAAATCTTGCAGGATGACAATGCGTCCATTAATAAGACAAGGCACATGGGGTCACTGAATGGTTTGAGCTGTATGAAAATGAAAAAAAGTAATATGCTGTGGCCTTGCAGGCACCAGATCTCAACTGAGCACCTATAGGAGATTTTGGGCTGACATGTTAGAAAGCAGTACCAACCTCGACCATCATCAAAACATCATCTGAGGAAATGTCTTGAGGAAGAATTTTGTACCATGGCTCCAGTACAGTTCCAGATACCTGCAGAATCTAATTGATTAAACTGTTTGACTGTTATTCTCAACTAGGTTTAAGTCTGACTGTTATTAAACTCTATGAAGGTTAAAGGAACAGGATAATGTGAGTAGGAGCTTTTGTGGATTCTGAAGCCTACGGCCAAGAACGTATTACACAACTTGTGAAATCTCAGAATCGCTGAACTCCTCACAATACATAACATTTTATTACTTGTAATCTCATTTTGTCATTGTAGTAATTGGTATACTCTCTAGTCAAGCCCCTTTGACTCAAGGCTCAGACATATTGTTCACCTGGTGGGATCCCTAAAAAAGAGCTCAGTTGTACTGTCACATCAGTCACATACCGTCACATGGCTTTGCTGATAGCTGAACAATAGTTGAACAACAGCTGTTGTAGTTGTTTAAGGACTCGTGCACCAATTTCTGCATTGTCTGTGGTAGTTTTTGGGCTTTTGGGTTTTTGGGCCTGTGCTGGCCTCCTCTCAGTTTTCTGGGTCCACAAAAACATGATTGGCCTAGACATGATTGTGTTGTTTGTTTCCACCTTGTCCCCCTAGAGTTTCTTCTTGTACTGTCATTTGTTATTGCTCATCCCTTTTCTTGGTGCTTGTCATTCATGTAACAAAATATTAAGGCAATAATTTGAAACATCCTCGAAATTGTTTCGAGGAAAATGATAACTCGCAGAACTGGGTAAATCATGTCTCTACTCTGCTTAATATGTATTTCTGTATCATTTATCAATCAAAAATATTCACTATGCATTAAAAAGATTTCTTTTAATGGTGTCCATATTTGCAAGTAAATCATTTGAGATCAAATGTTTTTTCTAACATGCAAATACAATATTAGTTTTGTTGCATAAAATATACTGCAAAATAGCTTAATGTCTTCCTGAGATTTCTTATAACATACCTTAACGTTATAAATGTGTGTTTTAGCATTTATTTTGTTATAGGGTAAATAAGCATGTAAATTTAAAGCTGTCAAAATGACAGTAATTGCCATTCTAGTAGTTGTGTTAAACTAAAGACATCAACTAACGATTAACAAAATCGCCAGATAACTGTAGGCTCAATATTGACTACATATTTATGATCAAGGATCAGCAGGGAAATTATGTTGCCTACTATTGAATAAACGTAGGTGATAAATAGAAGTACTGTGCAAAATTCAGAACACCCATTCATTTATTTGATTTCCAGTCACAACAGCCAATAAGTATAAAGTTATTAATTTTTCAGCAGGGGGGGGGGGGCAAAAAACATCTGTTTAACAGAAAATTACTCAGAAGCCTCAACAACCAAATATAATATCAAAATATACAGTATTTAGTGTGTCCACTCTTTGCCTTTATTACTGCTTCCTTTTTTTGTGAGACTTGCGTTCAGTTTTTCAAAGAAATCTGTAGGGATATTTTTCTATACCTCTTACCTCTTTCTATACCCAGAGTTTAGTCTTAGAAGTTGGTTGCATGTTCTGTTTCTCATGTTCCTAGTAATCCATAACACATTTTATTATGATGAGTTCTGGACACTGAGGTTTTTTTTTCCAGATCTGAAGCAAGAGTGGGACTTGATATTCTGCCATCTCTCAAAGATGAAAACTTTAAGTACTGTTTATCTGATGGTGACAGTTTTGGTGGTCTAACAAGATCTTCCATGGTTAGAAGATTTGTTTTCTCTATATCTTAGATAAAGAACTAAATTTAGAAGGAAATAGATTAAGAATTTGAACTCTGAGTTTTGTAAACTCCTTCTTTTCTTCTGTTTTTGTTTCCCACTTATTTTCCTTCGACTTAATTTAACTGCAAAAATGAGGGTCTGCCCTTGTTGCACATGTAGTCCCTGAAATGACCACACTGGGATGGCAGCAAATACCATCAATAGTTCTCTGTTTGGTGGAGTATATTCTGTTTTCATGCCTTACGTGGACTAGGACTCATTTAAGCTCATGTGTTTGCTTGCTGTAGCTAAAATTGCTGAAATGGAGATTGTGCAGATTAAATTGCTTGTCTCGTTGAGGTGATAGGAGAGATGTGCCAAATCAGTGGATACTCAGTTTATAAAATCTACTCAACATTTGATGTGTTCTTACTCTTTTTCCAAAATCCTCTCATTTTAGGCTGGAATGAGTTGCTGATCGCTTCATTTTCCCATCGCTCCATCACAGTAAAGGACGGCATTCTGTTGGCCACTGGTCTCCATGTTCACAGGAACAGTGCACACAGTGCAGGTGTTGGAGCTATCTTTGACAGGTAACTGTTTCCTACACATTCAGGCAATAGTTGTAGGACACAATGATTCACATATCTGTAGGAAAATCTCAGTTCTGCCAATGAAAATAAAATTCCTAATAAAATTTCTATAGCTTGGCTGAAAACACCTTGAACTGCTGAAGTGAGCTTTCTTGCTGTAAGGTCTAGGCTGTTTTATTTGTTTTTTAATGTCTTTATTTGATTCAGAGGATCATGATTAGAGCCAGGCATATTTTATTGGATGTGGTATCAACTATACTAAGCCTGATCCACTTCCGATCCTTTGTTAGAGTTCATTGTACTCTGTCTATGCCACTGTCGTAGGGGTGCCATTAATGGACATTATCGTAAAATGTTAAAACCGCGGCTATTATCCACCCGCACATCTCTGTTCAGCCCACTGATGTGTTGGTAATTGCTATGGCAGTGTCATTAGGTCGTCCAGCAAGATATGCTGAATCTAAGAAAGATTATTTATTTCCCATACATTCATTATTCTATTGGCCTTAAGTATTTAAACTTAAAGACTTGTCTAAGTAGGCTAATTGCATACACAGCAGTGTATCTAGTAGTGCCATACATGCTACAGTGACTACTTTTTTTTTTTATTATATAAACTCACATACCATTATATACCATATATGCTGGTGCATTGTCCGGATGGTGTGAATATATGAAAAAACAGATAAGCCTTCTGCATGCCACTAGAAACACTTCACTCAAAAATAAAAATAAAAACACGTTTAACAGCTATGTTAGTAGTATCACTTTATGAAAGTATAAATAATGAAGTGATTTTACTATAGCCTTAATTGGAAGCCTATCATATTTTACCCAAATTGGACTGGTTTTGCTAACTTGAATATACTTTTAAGCGCACACTGTGCAGCTACAATATCTATACAAATATCAGATTGGGCATAGTATTGGCTGATTCTCAGTATTAAAGAGTAACTACACCCTAAGACATTTTTTTTTTTTCATTAACAGCTGAAATGCACTGCTCTGTAATAATAAAATATACCTGCCTTGCTTAAAATGTGAACACATCTTTCCAAACTGTAAACATTATCATTTTTATCGTTGTCAGTTCTGCCTCCGGTTCAACTCTGCTATAGGCACGGATGACGTGTCACGGTATACAACTTGGTCAAACAACGTTACCGCCTCCTGATGACGCTCTACTCGTGCTGCACTCATAAATATGTAAGCATAGGAGCCTAGAGCTAGGAAATAACCACACTCACGCACTGAGCTAAATACCTTCCAGCACCACCTCACAAGGCTGCGATATGCCAGCTGTCTGTACCAACTGTAAATAAGTCAATTAATCTAAGCTTAGTTTGTAATAAAGATGTTGAATCGATTAAGTGAGGATTCTTGCAAGTCTCTATAAAGCTCCCGGTGCTGCATCAGATTCATGTTTCCTTTCACAAATCCCTCAGGCACGCGTACTGACTTGACAGACATCAACAGCAAGTAACACTGAAACTACGGAAAGCGAAATGGTTCAGGAAAGGTTACCGACTGACGTTTGACTTTCTCAAACTTTTTTCCTGCTTTCCGTAGTTCCAGTGTTGCTTGCCGCTGATATCTGTTCAAGTGCGCGTGCCCGAGTGTTCGATTTACGAAGGGGAACTTGAATTTGAGTGGGATCTGAATCAGATGTAACACCGGTAAGTGCCATGAACAGCTTGCAGAATGATTTAGGGTCACTGTAGCAAAGCCTGGCTGACCAGTGATGCAGTTTGCGATCTTGATGTCAAACTGAATGAAACTTAGACAGTGTTCAAAGAAATCCACTTAATTCATCTGCAATTTAGTGCATCTAAGATGTCAGGACTCGGGTTATATTGAATATGTACCTGAGTTAGTGAACAAGAGTGCCTGAATGGGACAGTCATTCCGCTGTGGTGATTTATAGGAGAGGAATCCTCTCTCTTTTTAAAACATACCCAAAAACATCACTGGTATGGGTTTTCCTCACTTTCTATCTGAAGTGGCTTTGATGGCAAAAACACCTTTTTTCAAACCCCTGACGTGACGCAACAACTTTTTTGCATATTCCTGCATCGCCATTTTGAAACAGTCACTACAGACAATTACTAACAAACAGTACATTTGGCCAGATTTAACTTGACACCTTATTGGGCCATTTTCCAGTGGGGAGGTAGGGTTTAGGTAAATAGATTGAACTTCACTGATTGCACATTAACTTACACATATTAGGAGGAAATAAAATAGGAGTAAAAAAACATAAATTACGCAGAAATAGAAAAAGACATACATTAAGGTAAACTATAAAAGAGTAGGAATAAAAGTATATCTATTGCATATTTACATAGCATGTAAGACAGATTTGTTGTATTTACCTGAGAGCAGGTATTGCACTAAGTGGTATGAGGTAGATACAACAAAGAGTCCAGCTTGACTCCAACAACAGAGCCAGCCTTCCTAACAGGTTTGTTCAATTTGTGCAGGGCACTTTTGTTAATGCTACTGCCTCAGCACACAACAGCATAGAATAAAGCACTGGCTACAACAGACTGGTAGAATGTAAGCTCCACCTCCTTAGTCTTACTAATGTTTAGCTGCAGCTGGTTCAGCTTACACCAGTCAACAAAGTCATTCAGCATTTCTGAAATGAAATATTTAAAATGTACATTTATGTGTACAAGACCTTTGCGTGTCTGCCTTTAGGGCCTCTTTTCCACTGCAGGCCGAACAGTTCTGAGCACAGGGGGTAACCATTCCAGTGGCGTTTCCACATAGACACGGTTTGACATGGGATGCCTAAAAAGCGGCTCAGCCTTTTTTTTCGGCACAGTTAGCTAACTGTACTCAGGGCCACAGAACCGTTCGGTGGGATGAGGTAATGACATAGCTGTTCGTTGAATGGTTCTACGTTTATGTCAGTATTGCGCCACCGCATCCTGCTGCGTTATTTAAAACAAACAATTAAGTTTGGTTCGCTCACACGGACAGCAAATTAATGAAGGCAGTGCACGATTTTAAACCCACCATTTAATAAATGTCAAAGCTTTAGTCTAACACTAATTTCTAAATATTAAACAGCGCTGATAACCAGGAGAGAGTAACTGGTTAGCGTTAGCTCACTACAGAACAGGTTCGATTCTGACTAACAAAAGCTTTACTGACACAAATTTTGATGATCATGACCCTGCTCTGAGGAAGCAACGTTGAGCGGCTGATGTTAGAGAGACAGAAAGCTGAAATTAAACATGTTCTTTGGTATCTGGAGCTGGAGCCTCCTAGCTAAGCTAACATTAGCTAGCTTCTCTCTACTAGTTAACTTAGCATAGCTGAAGAGATCCGGACACCCCAGTGCAGGTTTGATTCAACTAACTGGTGCGCTGCTATCACAAGTATAGATGATAAAAACTTACTACATAAATGATAACATATGATAATAAATGTACAACAGCAAGAGCAATATTGACTGACTGACTGGTGGTGTGACAAAGCCAAAATTTACCTGTTTTGTAAAGCTTTAAGCTGTATCCCACAATGCCTCCCACTGCAGTACATGCTCGGTTCTAGCAAACTGACGAATAAAAACAACTGTTTAAAGGATAACGACGCGTATCTGAGTGCACAGATTCAAAGGACTGGTGTTGAAGTGACAAAGATAAAAAACAGCATTGTTCTGTGGTACTTTGAGCTGTACCCTGCTGGTCGACGCTTATGCTAACGTAACTAGTTGTCCGACTACAGGTGAAACCCACCACAGTACAGGCTGTTTCTGTAACAGATGCTCAAATAACACCCATTTAGAGGATAAAGAAGACGAAAACAGACTGAGAGACAGCAGTTGGAGTGACAGACCGAATCAAACATGTTTTGTAGTGGGTGGTGTGTGCATGGCTATTAGCCTGTTAGCATTTGTATATTTTTCTTGGGTATTTCCTGGTTCTGATTGAGCAGTACAACAGATGGAAAAAGAACCCATAACTGGTCTCGCAGACCAATGCAGAACAGACCAGTACAGCTGTACTTGATAGTTTTTTAGTTGAAAAGCTGCCTAAGTTAGACAGAAGCACCACTGACACTTATAATATAATGAACTACATACATAGCTCTTAAACAATGAATACATTTGGATTTTCATAATGTCATGTTAGCTTGGCTAGCTAGTAATTTGTAAGATTGCTGTAGTTGCAGACTGATATTAATTAGCTAGCCAGCTAAGTTATCTTACTCTTGTGGTAGGTAGCTAGCTTGCTGCTTTGCAGATTAGGTAAGTTAGCTAAATAAACTGGTTAATACTTAACTAGGTGGCTAAAAAACAGCAGTTAAGCATGCATAACTGTAAAGTTTAGAAAATTCCAATGCACAAGATTTTACAAAAAACTAATGAAAATGACTGCCAACAAAGTCAGAGTTCTAAAATAATTGCACTGGTATAATACACACATGCATATGCAATGTGTTCCACATATTTGAAATACATTTTGGTGCCACACTGACACTAATATTAATTAATAAATAACAATTCCTAATAACTTTTAACAATATAGTAACTTTTAATTCTTTTTAAACAACAATGCCACTCTGCCACTGCAAATACTCATTTTTTTTTTAATTTATTTACTCTTTTTTGGTATATGTATTCTGTGTACATGTGATAATTACATACAAATATTAAAAACACTTTTATTTTACAAGCTGTCTGCTTTGAGTCTTAGTGGTGTATCTTTAAATATTTTATCATGCTTCTTGTTAAAATTTATTTAATTTTAGATGTGTTATTAGTGTAACTGCAACTAGGCATTCTTGCGAACTTGGAGAAAGCAAATTCAGCAACAGCAGCTTTGCTAGATAACGTATAGGAGGTAGCTCACTTTTTTTTGCAAGTGCCTCTTATTCTGCTGCTTATTCTGATGTCTCCTTCACTCTCTTCCTGCTTGTCCCCCCTCGACATAAACTGTGTTTACATAGTGGTCAAAATAAAAGCACATTGTTTTTTGAAACTGATTAAT